AGCAAAGCTGTAGGCGTGAAGCAGGAGCCGCTAACTCTAAAAACAGAGATAAAGTAGAGAAAATAAATGGAGTTCTGCTCTGTGGTGTTTTTTCTCTTGGTGTATTTTATTACGATAACTAGCCTCTGAACCCCACAACAGGGCACTGTAAGGTGTAGCACATGTTGCACAGTGAGTGTTTTTAAAATATGACTAAAAGAGATCCTGAAGGAGCGTTCATGATGCTGTCAAAGAGCGGAGTGGAAAAGTGTTGTGGTACGTTTGTACAAATGAAGGCTGAGAAATATTAAAGGTAGTATGGCATAGGTAATATTGCAGAATATATTGTCCAATATTTGTTTTTCATGACCATATCTCATGTCACATTCTTCAGTTTGGTGTTCAGTTTTTCTGTCTCTTTTGGTTTGTATACATTCAAGAAGGTAGTTGCATCAGCGTGCGTAGGCTACAGGGGAACAGGTAATGGTTTATTTGATTCTGAAAGGAAAAGAAAAGAGACACAACATTTCAGCTGTGTCTCCCAGCCGAAACAGTCTCTTCTTTTAACCCTTCAGCATGGAGTAAACTTTTACCTGTTTTCTTGTACAAACTCATTTCACTTCAAATGGGGTGTCAGCTGTAATTCGATCCAGAATGTACCTGAGAAACATAATGCTACCAACTTTCAGCTCCTCCTCCAGTCGAACATCCTGAATGGTGCCCTTATTCATGTCCCCTGCCCTGCTACAGGCACTGCCACTGCGAGAAAGAGGGTTCAGTGGCACTCGTGACCAATTATAATCCTTTACATGTCTATGGGTCTCCTTGTCTGTTATTCGGTAAAGTAAAAGGCCTAACAGGAGAGTCTTCTTTCATGATCTTCATTGCTGAAGTTACACAAGCTGGGCACAGAGCTAGTGATCCTCATCTAGGGAAAGGGCCAGCCAGGTTGCCTAACAGCATGCCACACATGGTTGTGGTGTTGGCCTGGACCTCCAGCCTTCCTCCTGTGCTCCAACAGTGATGCTTTTCATTCCTGTCTTCTGATGGCTCTTCTCCTTGGGCTGCTGCCTCACTGATAGCCTACACTGATCTTTGTTATCAGTGCTGGCCATTTCTCCCTTGACTGGTATAGGCCACAGCTTGTTACCTGCCGAGAAGGGAGCCCAGTGACTGGTGGTGGGTGTTAGGAGGTTACTGGTGTGCCAGTGTCTTCTCTTACCCACTCAGGCCAGTTTGTTACTCTTTCTTTCCCATTTATGAACCCAGTATAACAAAACCCGTTGTACTGCAGGCTGTAAGGACAAACAGTGCTTGGGCTGTTGGCATGAGGAATGAAAGCATGGGACGCGCCAGCTTTATTACATGAGGTTGAAACAGACGAACAGGAACCTTTACAAACTCCACTCCTCATCTGGCTGGGACTCAGATGACGTACCCATTCATCCTAGATCCATCAGCGCACTGGGTCACAGGGAGATGCAATAAAGTAAGGCATGTACTGTATACGTTTTGTTAATACTGAACAAAAGTCACACAGTGGAGTACTACCAAGCGGGTATCCACCTTTTGCCACTATTACTTACATTATTTTCTGTAATACGATGTTTTAAAAGTTAATAGAATTACCCAGACCAAGTCCCAAGTAACTTTCTGCTTTATTCATCTAGCATGGTTTGTTTTAACAGGTCCTGGTTTATATATTTGAACCTGTTTACGACCTCCATTGTTATGCCGATCTGTTTTAAAAGAGTTGCATGTGTTTCTCCTACTGGTGTCATAATTGTAGGGCAGATCTACCCACTGGTATCTGTACTACATAGCTAATTAAAAAAAATATATGTATTTTAAGCTTTGAAATGACCATGTGGTGATATTTTAATAAATGATGTGTGACCCAATTTCCAGTTGTTCCAGAATGTGGCCTGTTTGAAAGCGATTTTTATGTTGCTTCCGCTAAAGTAGCTTTAAAGCAGAGCTGTAGCAAAGGAAGCATAAATTAACTCTGTTTTGAAAGATGTACTGTTGGGGCTATTTTCACTCCTGTTTGAGTTGTAGCCGCTCCTCTGGGGGCTTAAGAATGCCAGACTGCCATCTGAGGCCCACCAACTGCCTCGCAAATGGCAAAAACCTGGCATAGCCATCTCCTCTTTTACCTCCAGAGGACAGAAATGGTACGGTAAATCCTCACAGAATGCCCCCTGATGCTCATTGGCTGGTGCAGAGAGATTCTGGTGCAAAAAGACAGATTCACATGACGAAGAAAGAGAACATTAGGACCGGTCAGCAAGGCTGCCTGGTCACGGTCACAGTCCCAGTCCCAGCTCACAGATGCGGGTGAGGTGATCCCTGGTAATGTGGCATGTGTCAAGACTCACGAGTCATGTGCTAATGATTAAGGTCACAGGCAACGGAAATCTGTTCAACAGATTGACGTCCTTGTTTTTCCAAGCATATAAACAGGCCATTCGTACATGGGGAAAATGAGGACCTCAGTCTGTTAGACTTTTCGTTGTCTGTGTCATTAATCATTAATGACATTGTACTCTCTATAACAAAACAGAATTAGATGGAAAAAATTGCTTTTAGTATGCACGTAGGGGATTTCCCAGGAATATCAAATCCTTTGTGGGATTTTATTCAATACTCGTAACCACTTCATTGTTTTGCACTTTTAAACTAATTTATTTTGGATCCTGTCTACATCCTCAAAATAAACTACAATATACCTGCCTGTCTGTCAGAACAATTCCATATCCCTGGTCTGTGACAGATAGACTGAATTATGATCTTTGTAACTTGTCAGGTATTGCTACATAGACACTGACTCACTATAAGATTATATTTACATCTATGAATAACTGCAGTTGCTTTTCTCTTCTTTTATATTCTGTGGTAGTTTATGCAATAACCTGCTTCATTTGTGCTTGTAAGAATTTGCAGTTTTTGGTCAGGTAGAGTGTGTGGCACAGGCATTACAGACAATACTGTAGATAATCATTGTTATTTCCTGTATGGCAGTTTTTGAAGTTAAGACAGAAAGACTTAAAGAAAGCGAATGAGAAATGGGTGCAGAAATTGATGTATTTCATCCTGATGTCTGTAAATTCCATCCATACATTTTCTAAATACTTCATCCAATTTAGGGTCACAGGGAAGCCAGAGCCCATCCAAGCAAGCAAAGGGCACAAGGTGGGGTACTGTACATCCTGAATGGGATGCCAGTCCACGAAAGGGCACATACAGACACACACTTTCTCACCGCAGTCAATTTGAGTCCTGTTGAGTCATAAGGTTTCGTGTTGACAGACATTGCAGCATAGTAAACATTCACACACTACTCAGCTAACAACATCTGAATTGTGAGGGAAGAATGGACCCTGGACTTTCCAGAATTGAGCCCCATCGAACATGTGTAGGATCAGATGGGACCATGTGTGGCTTCCTGGGCTCAGTGAACAGGTACATGCTTGTTCAAGATCTGGGAGACAAATAGGAAAGATTCCCACAAGACAGTATCTGTAACCTTGGTGTCATCTGTATCACAGATATGTAATGTAGCCAACAGTGGCCACACACAGTACTAGCCTGGGACTTTTCACAGTACACTCAGACAACTGTGGGAGTTGATCAACCCTATTGATGACAAATATTAACCAGTATAATGAATGTACTTATGTCAGTTCCATAAAATGTCAGTGCACCAGCTTCAAAAACGAGTTTATCCTGATAATGACTTTGAGAATTTGTTACAGATATAAGGGATATATTTCTTTAGTACATATTATGCAATACATATTGTTTATTGATAACCGAAAATACATTATGTTGTTAAAATATAATACTGAAGTCTCGTGAGTCCAAAGTTACCCAGTAACACAGAAGCCCAGTGCAACAAGTGGCTTTGCTTAGGGCAGATATATAATTACAACACTACACAATCATTAAAAACACAATAGCCACCCTCATTAGAAAATTATACTCTTTTCCTGAGGCCTTTTCTTTGTCATGGATCTAGAAAGAAAACAAATAAAATTCTCCTGCTCTCAAGGCGGTATTAGCAGTCTGAGCTATTAATATCCTCAGTGCTGTGCTCTTTGGAGCACCTCTCAGTGCAGTAATATCTGTTTATTTCCATGGTAACAATGTTCCTCAGGTGGAATATCTCTCCTTATGGACTAGGGGACACATCCTTTCATGGCTCATGTTTAATTATTGAAAGGAGAAAGTAGCAGATGGTGTATAAAGAACTGTGAAACTCTCACTAGCCGATTATCTTTATGTCTTGTTAAGTCATGTTCACTATTTCCCTAGGAAATAAGTCATAAAAGTTTCTAAAACAAACAAAACCAATTTGCCAGTCTGGAATGGTATATTTACAGTATAATGGAATTGATCTTAGAATCTTTGTGTTAAGCCTTTCTTAGACATTTAACAGGTGACAACTACATGGGTAATTCTCAATATACAGTACTGTAAGAGAGTCGCTATCAGTTTTAGATGGAAAACCATGTATTTCAAATAAATAAAGTAATATAACTTGCAAAACTCTTTAAAACTCAGTAGAAGTGTGAAACATTCAAGAAAACATTTGATTTCAAAATTATACTACAAATGATTTTAAGTGTGTTCCAAAGCTAGCTCCTAACAGGAGATTATATACAGTACAACATACCATACAACATGTGTTTCAAATGAATTTTACAACCAGATAGCTCTTCTTATCTCATTGAAGGATCACAGATCTCTTCTGGGCGATTTCGCTGATGAATCCACAGTCACTTTCTGAAGTTCAGCTGCCTACAGGTTGGAAATGTCAGATACCCTTAAGAAGTATACTATGGTTTGTCATTTTTTTGAAGGAGAATGAGAACTGAAGACTTTCAGGGGTAGTCAGAGGGTTAAATGAGGGATGTGCTAAATGTAACAATATCACCTGCCCATCAAAGGTCCATTAAAAAAAAAAATCATGTTTGGATTAATATGACATTCAATGTTCTCACTGATTTTTATCTCAACAGTGTTCTTACATTCCTCCATGTGAAAGAGACAACAAGAAAAACTCTGAGGAAGTTCTAATGTGGCAAAACCGCTGGACAGAACAGATACGCTCTGAATCCTTTCCCTGCTTCTTTAACCAACAGAGAAGGTACAGTAGCTCCTCACATTGTATTCACACACAGGTCAAAAGGCACCGGCAGACTGACATTCATTTACCACACCGGGACAGGCCATAAATGGATATGTAAATACTGTAATTAAAAACTTGTGAGAATTTATCATTGGAGTTTTAGGTCAGTCTTTTGAGAGGCCTTTGTAAATTTCCAGGATACCTTATTTCGGAAAAACAAAGATTACGTTGACCATGATATCTCTCTATAATATTCTGTTCGACCTTAACTGCTACAGTACAAGCGAGAAGTTTTTAATTCTTTTATGGGAGTTGTCTGTTACAAATATACAGGGGTGTGAAAAAGTGTTTGCCCCCTTCCGTATTTATTTGCATGTTTGTCACACTGAAATGTTTCAGATCATCAAACAAATTGAAGTATTAGACAAAGATAACACAAGTAAACACAAAATGCAGTTTTTAA